CAGACAGTGGGGGATTGAAGAAGGGGTTTGAATGACAGCTAAGGGCTCTGAATTATTAAATTGAAGAAGGTATGTGGGAGGTTGTCAAGACAGGAATGGGTCACAGATTTTCATTTTCCTTAGAGATTTGGCCTCAGTTTGGAGTTCCCTCATAACCAGAAGCAGTTCATAGGGGACAGTTGCTGGGGGCTAAAGGAATGGTGTTACTTCCTTTTGCACAAGGCAGGAGACCAGGCTGAATATTTGATGAAATAGTATCTCGCTTCTTCCTGGATGATTCTGGAGGAGAGAATGAGAGATGGATGACTTTGTACAACTCTGCCTCACTTAAATCCAATTCACTTGCAAGTTAAGACACCACCTTCCTGATGTCATTCAGTTTTCTTTATACTATATCATGTTGTTTATGCCTACCACTTAAGGGAACAGAGTCATTTATCAGGTGACTCTATTAATGTCACAGGGAAATTAATGGCTAGTCTGTCTTAGGAAGAGGAAACAGAATACCAGGACAGTGTCAGTTCCTATCCCTGACTCCTTCCTAATAGGCTAGCTTGATATTTATTCTTATTTCGTAAACTGAAGTCAGCAGGGACTTTCCAAGCTCAATTCCTAGTAGTACTGTGTTGATCAATTAACTCCCAGAATTCTGAAATGTCCTAAGTTGTCAAGGGAAACTACTACTTGAAAATGCCTTTTTGTGCCTCTCCCCCTCTCCAGTCAATTATTCATTCATTTATTCAGTGGACATTTATTTAATGTTATGTTGAAGTCAAATATGAAAGCCAGTGAATCTAGAGAGCTAGCTGCAGTGGATAGAGAGCTGGCCTTGGAGTTAGGGAGACCTGGGTTCAAGTCCTACTACATACTAGCTGTGTGATTTTGGGCAAGTCACATAAATTTGTAGTGCTCTAGGCCAGTGGTGTGAAACTTAAGCATAAACAGACCACTAATTCATACATAAGGATCTCTGTTGGGCATATTGACATAGTTGTTTAAATGTAATGTTATTTATGTTTTAATTCCATTTTAATGTGGTTCCAGTTGCAAGCCCATGGGTTGTGTGTGACACCTTGCTTGACAACAGTCTAAGGCTCCAGGTTGCCAAGCTTTCTCATCCAGGAGTTCCCTATATCAATAAAATCACAGGTTGAGCATCTATCCCTATTTTTAAAACGTTGTTCCAGATTTTAGAGGACATAAGGATATCTGCCTGCAAGGAGCTTGTAGCCAACTAGAGTGCTTATCATTTCCTGCCTCTTTTCCCTCAGAGGCTAGACAAGGAAGAGGCTTCCTTCCTGGTGGCCTTTTAACTACAAGAGTCATTCATTTTCTTGAAAGAGCATTTTTTGAAGAGCGAAAAATGGTTTGTTAATAATCCACACAATTAGAACTCGAAGTCTTATAGAAGGGAATGTGGAAAATTAAAAGTGAATAAATAAATAAAATTTAGGAAAAAAAAGAATTGACACAACCAACTTCATTTTGTTTTCCATTTGGCATTTCTGCTATATGATGTTTCAGCATGTTCTTCAGGGATAGCTTAAAGCAAAATGTCTGTCTCATAATACCTTCTTTACTCTTCATCCTTCCCAAACCAAAATAATCCTTATCTCCCTTAATTCATATTGTCTACCCTATTAAAATAGAAGATCAGACCTGTCTCACTATTTTGGTATCCTATCTCATTATACAAAGGTATCCCTATTGCTAAGAGCAGTGCCTCGCACACAATAGGCATTTAATAAAGAATTAGTCAGTCAATAAACATTTACTAAGCACCTTGTATGTTATACACAGACTGTACTAAGTCTTGGGGATACAAAATGAGTGCCAGGCCTGGAATTAAGAAGATTTGAATTAAAATCTGGCCTCAAACATTTGCTAGGCATATGATCATGAGCAAGTCACTTAGTCGCTGTCTGCTTCAGTTTCCTCATTTGTAAAATGAGGATCATAATAGCACTTACCTCCCAGGGTTATTGCAAAAATCAAATGAGATAATATTTGCAAAGTGCTCAGCACAGGGCCTGGCACATAGGAGATACTTAACAAATGCTTCTACCCTCCCTCTCCCTTAGCAGCAACTACAGTAAAAGAGAAAATCTCGGAATATGATATTCCAAAATGCAATAGGCAAAAGCTTGTAGCTAAGGATAGCTTATACTACAAAACTGAGTATAGTCTGGGACATGATGATTAATAGAATAAAGTGTTTTCAGGTATTTCTGATGAAAATATCAGAGCCAAGTAGAAACTTTTAAATGAAAACATTTTTAACTGTATCATCTTCTCCACCCCACAGTCCCAATATATTTCAGAACCAATCTGGAAACAGCTGTCACTATGAGAGATGCCTCCTCTCTTACCATCCCCCATGTTTGGTATGCTATCTATTAAAGGGGAATGACAAAAAACAATCTTGTATCTTCAGGCTTGGCTCCTTTTCACCATATGCTAGTTACATGAAAGACCGTCACAGTTAGTCAATAATGAGTAAAGCCATTTATGTAAACAGATATAAAATAAATCAGAGAAATTATACAGATTAGAATTAACAGAAAATACACAGACTAAATAAGTTCATTAGAAGGGAGTAAGATCCCAAGTCAACCAAGACAAAGAAATGTCAATTTCACCCAAGAAAAATTATCCAAAGTCTCTAGGGAGACAATGTGGAAATCAGGAACATGTCACAGAGCTAGCATTCCCCTATAGACTACCTTCCAAAGTCTATTGTCTCTCTCTCTCGATGGCGTGCTAGTACTATTTTCTGTAAATTGCCCTTTCATCAGACTGAATATCTTGTTTATGCTTTGGGGGCACTGATCACAAAAAAAAAATAGTGCTAATAGTAAAGCTCTTTTGTAGTTGTTTTAAATGATGAGAAATACTAAGTCTTGACTTTCCAAATGACCACTCTCTGGAGAATATCTGGAATTATTTGTGTCTATTCTTGAATAGGAATGAAAAGTGTCTTTTCTCTCTAAAATACATGTATCGACAATACCTCTCACATAAGCACACAGCATCAAGTTATTATTCTCTACCAAGGAGGAGAATCTTATGTAAATGCTCTAGGCTTGAAGCCAGGGTTACATCAGAAATGCAAAGTTTGTTCACTTTCAGGAAAACAATTAATGTAATATACCATATTAGTAACAAAACCCACACATATAATATAATCGTGTGATTATATCAACAGAGAAAAGTTTTTAATAAGATGCAGCCCTCATTTTTCTTAAAAACGCTGGAAAATACATGAATAAATTAATATTTCCTTACTATAATAAGTAGTATCTACCAAAACCAAGAGCCAATATTATATTTAATGGGAAAAAATTAGGGATCTTTCCAATAAAATCAGGGGTAAAGTGCGGAAGTCCATTATCACCATAAATATTTAGCACAATGCTAAAAATTCTAGCTATAGAAGAAACAAACAAACAAAGAGAAAGAGTAAGAGAAAGAAAGAAAGAAATGCAGTAGCATAGTCAAAATTATCAGGCAACGAGGTGGTGCAGTGGATGTGGTGCTGGTCCTGGAGTTAGAAAGGCCTGAGTCAAAATCTGACCTCAGACACTTTCCAGCGAGTCACTTAATCTCTGTTTACCTTCATTTCCTCATCAGTAAATTGAGCATAATCACCTGCTTCCTAGAGTTGTTGTGAGGATTAAATGAGATAATAGTTGTAAAATGTTTAGCACAGTACCTGGCACATAGTAAGGATAAAATAAATGCTAGCTATTATTATTGTTATTATCATTTTTGCGATGATAAAATGCTTTTTTTTAGAGAACCCTGCAAAATCAATTAAAAATAATTGAAAAATAGATTCAACAAAATTGCATGATATAAAATGAATCCATACCAATCACTAACATTTCTATATTATAAACAAAACCAGCAGGAAGAGAGAGATTTTTGTTCATTGAAAAACATATATATATATATATATATGTGTATATATGTATATATTTAAATAAAGCATTTAGCAAAGAGCCAACTGCTTGGACTCATGGTGGCCTAGATACTTCACCAATCCAGTTGTCCTACACCCAGCCTTTCAGTTTGACTGGGTTCATTGCTGGTGGACCCCGACCTCTTATTAGGAAAATTGAACTTCTCATTCTTAGATTCAGGGGCTTCTTAAAAGCCTCAGAATCCAGTGGACAATGTTACTTTTGGCTATAGTATAGGGTTTCCCAAAAAAGGGGAAAGTAGAAGAGGCACTAATGCACAATATGAAGCAAGTGAAGGATAGTGCCTGGGAACATAATAAGCATTTAATCATAAATAATTGATGATTGGCCATTTATTCCTAAATAGAAAGTCAAGATAACTCTGAAAGAATCACATCATACCTTAGAGAATAATTTAAACGGGATTCAGTAACTTATAACTACTAGTTAACAATTAACTGGAAGACTAATTTGAACATTAAACAGTTTCCAAGACTGTCAATCAACTTTAGACTCAAATTTTAGAATCAATTAGACTTGATGTAATGGCAAATAGGGAGTCATTGAAAGTTAAGCATAAGTGTAACTAGATTGTTGTGTACAAATTCAAAATGCTTAAATTGTACTGAATTGGGAAGATAAGATAGGTTTAACAGTTCTGATCACCTATGTGACCCAACTTCATCCTTCATTTCTCTCTCCAATTTCCTCTCTGCCAGGATTCTAAATGCCATATCAATCCATCAATGATCAGCAGATGGTCCTCCCCCCACACTTCTGCACTGTCACTGGTTCCAGAAAAGCTGTGAGAGCATGGATTCTGCTACAGTCCGCTGGGGTAAGACTGACCCAAGGGAAAGGTCAGACTAGATCAACCCTGATCTCTTAGTTCCCAGTAAATCAATTTTGTAACTCTTTAAGATTTAAGGACGTCTTATCTCTAAGCCATGGTAAACCAATCAGTTAAACCTCATCCAATCCTACCAAGAAGGACCCAGAAGCCCACATGTCTGTAACTGCATCAAATAAAGAAGTTACTCAAATTTTATAAGAATTTATTTATATGTCAGCCACCGTACTGGGCTCTGGGGATACAAATATAACAAAAACAAAAACCTCAAAACAGTTTCTGTTCTAAAACAATCTTACTGTATTGGTGTGGGAGGGGGTCAAGGATGGGGAAAAACATATATATAATGAATGAAATATAAAAAATATGCAAAGTAATTTTTAGGAGGAAGGGCACTAGCAACTGGTGGTATCAGGATAAGGTTTCTTAGGATGGGACCTGAGCTGAACTATGAAGGAAACTAACATTCTATGAGACAAAAGTGAAGAGGGAAGGCATTCTAGGCACAGGGGTCAGCCTATGCAAAGACATGGAGACTGGACATGAAAACTGATCAGAGATTAAATGGTCTCTATAAAGAACAGCAAAAAGACCTCTTTGACTGCAGTGTAAAGCATATATAGTGCCAATTGTAAAGGACTTTTAAAGCCCGAGGAGCTTGTATTTCATTCTAGGAGGCAGTTACTAGAGTTTTTTGAGAAAAGCAAGGATACCAGCATACCTGTACTTTAGGAAAATTTGCCAGCTGTGTGGAATGTGGATTAAAGAGGAGGAAGTGATTTAGTGGAGTCTATTGCAATCATGCAAGTTAGAGATGATAGAGGCCTAAACCAGTGTGCTAGCCATGTGAGTGAGGAGAATGGGACTGAAACAACATATATTGTGGAGGTAGAATCAACAAGACTTGTAAACTGATTGAATGTGACCAGTGAGGGAAAGCAAAGAGTAGAAGATGAGAGGGATTGTGAAATTGGGTGACTGGAAAGATGTTAGTGCCCTTAGCAAAAATAGAGAAGTTAGGAAAAGGAGGAGGGGTCTGGGGAAAAGATAATGTGCCCTTTTTTGGACATGTTGAGTTGGAAATGATTAAGGGATAGGAGTGTCCAACAGGCAGTTAATGATGTGGGAAACTACAGCTCAGCAAAAGACTAGGGACGGATAAATGTATATGGGCATCATCTATATAGAAGTGATAGTTGAATGCAGGGGAGGTGGCGAGATGACTAAATTTACTCAGCTATGGAGAATATCAGGATTGGAAGAAGGGGGACCCTGGACTTGAGTCACTCTAGAGAACCTACAGGGAAATTAGAGATCAGACCAGGCTGTCTGCTATATAAAATGTTGAGATTAAGGAGAAGTCAGCAAAGAGAAGGCATAGGTAGAATCAATCAGAAGTCCAGGTAGATAAATGGAGGGATGAACAGATAGATGAGGTGCTCAGACAGATGACAGAAGGCAGCATCTTCAGCCAGACCAAGGTCAGGGACAGGGAGCTGGACTCTTCCTTGTGTTCCTCCTCATTTAGAAAGCTGTTACCTGTGGCAGGAGAAGATTTACAGGAGAGCAGCCTCTGTTCCCATGGTAATTCTTCCAACACCTCCACCACTACTGCTATTGTGATTCCTTATTCTCCCCATCATCACAGTATTTATTTATCTTTCACTCTTACCCAGGTCTCTCTAGTCCTTTTCTATCAGTTGATTCACAGAGGCCCTTGATGTTGGGTCCTACTGCTGGAATGTATGCCCCTGATTATGAGGACAGTGCCCACAACGATGCCCACCAGACCCACAGCCAGACCAAGGGCACAGACCACAGCTTCTGTTGTCTCTGGCAGCAGGGATGGAACCTGGGGTTCTGAGGAGGGAAAGGAAACATGGAGGGAGAGGATTGGTATCTTTGAGATGTACAGAATACAGGAATTCAGATTCTTGGAGGAAGGTACTATTGGGACCTTGAGATGATTTATTCATACAGGAAAAACTGTGGGAGGAAAACTACAGATGGGACTAGTGGGTTCTTGGAGGGAAGTAGTGACAAAGGGAGAGATAAGAAAAGGAGGAACTATAGTAATATATCTACAGAAAGAATTTTATCATTAGCATTCACAATGACCTTTCATAGATCAGCAAATATCAGTCTCAATTTTATAGAAGAGGAGACTTAGGCTCAGATAAATTAAGGGTCTTGCCTAAGATGATATAGTTGGTTGATGGAAGGGACAAGATTAGAACTCAGCTCTTTGGATTCCTAGTCCAGGGACAAAAGTTCCATACCCCAGTGCTTGAGGACTGGCTGCTCCAGGCCCCAGTGCTCCACTTTGCAGTCATAAAAATCTTCTGTGTTGGGGAGAAAAGCGAGGTAGTGGAACTTGCGGAATTTGTGGTCAGGTCGAGGGTAGAAGTCTGTCTCAGACACACCTGCAGTGACTAACTGCCCATTACGAAGCCACGTGATGTTGACCACTGGGGGGAAGATGTTGTCCACCAAGCAGATGAGTATGTTCGGCTGGCCCATCTCCACGGGACTGTCTGAGAACACAGTCACCTCAGGGGGCACTGAGAACAGAAAGGGGAGGTGCTCACCTAAGGACTTTCATACTCCACTGAGCCCGTTAAATAGGACTGGTCCTGAAAGCTCATTCTCCAGGGTTCAGTGAACTCCTTTATTTTGTAACCCCCTGCCCTGCTTCCCCAACCCCTCTAGTAACACTGCTCTGTGTAGGGAAAAAATCTGGTGCAGACAATATGTGTGAATGCTGGGACAAGAGACCTTCTGTGGCTGGGAATGTGTCAGGATGACTAACAGAGTTGGGGTGACATGATGAATGGAAAATGGTGAGAGGAGGTCTGGGGTGGCCTGATGACTTCTGGTGCTGACTGTGGTGGGAGAGTAGTCTGACAAGAAATAAAAGGGCTCCTGTTATTAGTTAGTAAGGAACTATAGGAAGGGTAGACAGGGAAAGAGGATGTGGAAAGAGATCAATACCATTAATGGCCCTGGTTCTGTTGCAGCATTTGATCAGGAGGTGCAAGTTATACTTGGCTACGGCTATGTTTCTCAGCGCAGTGTGATGGTCAAAGCTAGTAAAATGGCCAAACTCTGGCAGCCTCCATATAGTCTCCTTCTTCTGCAGGTCCACATAAAACTCTTCATCCTCATCAAATTCATGTGTATACTGGCCTGAGGACCCATAGGACTGGTACATGGTTGTGCCATACACCCCCAGATGGTCAGCTGGGGGATGAAAGTACAGGGGAGAAGGGACAAAACATAATTACACTTGTGATCATAATACACCAAGGATCCAAGTTCTGGAAAAGGACACCAGGACAGGTGTTTACCACAGCACCTGACCCAGAGAGGAGTAGATGATAAGAAACCTGGGGACAGGTTTTAGTCATGTCCCAATGACTTGAGGCAGTTGATAAGGGTGCTGGACCTAGAATCAGGATGACTTGAATTCAAATCCAGCCTCAGACACACTAGCTGTGTGATTCTCAGCAAGTCATCAATCTGTTTGACTCAGTTTTCTCAACTCTAAAATGAGAATAACAAGATCCTCCTTGGATTATTGTGAGGATCAAATGAGATAATACTTATAAAAAGCCTTAGCAGATTGCCTAGTACATTGCAGATGCTAAATCAATGTTTATTCCTATTCCCTTCCCTGTTTTGTCCTGGGTCCTTCAATTCTGTGTCCCATGCATCTTCTTTCTTTTCATCATATAACATAATATTCTAGCTTATTTGGATGATATATTTCAGTAGTGTTATGTCTCAGAGGGAGGACATGGGGAGAAAACTAAGAAATAAGGCAATCAATCTTCAACAAATCTGTCTTTTATGTATACTGTGATCATAGAGCATTGTGCTGGTCATTACTGAAGACTGAAAGGATAGATAAGATCCTTCCCCAAATGGAGCTTAGAGTCCCATAGAGGGATGTGCTCTCAACCCAGAAATGACCCATTAGTGGGGAACAGCTGGGGTGGGGCATGAAATAACTGAAACCAAAAACAAAGAATTAGGAAATTGAATGCAAGTCATGTGCTCTTGCCCATCAGTTTCTATGTTGGGCTTCCCTTTGGGACTGGTAGTAGAATGAAAGGCCATTTAGGAACTAAACTAAGGCACTCTCCCATGCCCTACATCCCTAAACTCAGCCACTTGAGATTTATCTGCCTCCTAAGAGTATGGGATGAGCCATAGCCCTGGCCTCCCCTGAAGTAATGAGATTCCATAGAAGGACAAACACTAAGGAACTTCAGGAGTCTTTCTCTCCAATCTGCTCTATTGACATCGCCCCCCATCCTTCTATCTCCCTCGTTGCCTTCCCCATCAGTGATTTTTGTGACAAACTTACCTTCATTGGACTCAGAAGCTCCTTGGTGACTCAGCAACATGGCCAGTGAGAGGGTCCCCAGGATCAGGACTCTGTTGGCAGCCATTCTGTTGGGGCTTCTCTGTTGCTAATACCCCCAAGTAAAGGGATACAGGGCAAGGAGGCAGATATTAGGTAGAAGGGAAGAGGTAGGGCAAGACTTCACAGGGAGGAGCCAAACCCTGGATCAGCCATGTGCAGCCAATCAGAAAAATCTTTTCAACTGACCTCTCTGTTGTTGGGTAAAATGTTCTGGAACAGACCTGTAGGGCAATTCAGTAAATTCACTTTGTCTAGCTAGCCTTTATGTATCAATCATCTAACCAATTTACAAACATGTATTAAGTGCCTACTGTATGAGACACAAAGACCAAAGTCAAACAATCCATGACTTTAAGGAGTTTACCTTTTATTGGAGGAGAAACAATACAAGTATGTAAAAATATATTTACAAAGTAAGTACAAGGCAATTTGTGGGTTGTGAATGGCATTAATATCTTCAGGAAATGGAATCAGCAAAGGACTGACGTAGGAGGTGGTCCTTGACCTTTGAAAGGATTCTAAAAGTTTTTCACCTTTTAGAGATAGTAAGGGAGTACATTCAAGGTATGTGGGACAGACTATTTGGAGTGTAGGGTATGGGAGACAGTAAATAAGCTGGTTTAGCTATATACCATATAGTATGTGAGGTGAGTAACGTGAAAATCATGCTGAAAAGGTAGAATGGATCCAGACTGTGAAGTGTTTCAAATGCCAAATGAGGAATTTGTGATTGATCAAAAAGAAATGGGAAATGTCTAGTGCTTCTTGCTAGATGGCACAGTGGATAGAGCACTGGACTTGGAATCAGGAAGTTCTGAGTTCAAACTAACTGTGTGACTCTGGGCAAGTCACTTAACTCATGTTTGCAATCAGTTTTTCATTTGTAAAATGGGGACAAACTCCAGAAGTACATGGCAAGCCACTCCAGTATCTTTGCCAAGAAAACCACACGGACAAATCCATGAAGTAACAGTCAGAACAGACTGATAAACAGTGCTTCTTGAACAGGGGATGACATGGTCATACATGTGCAGTAAGGATAAAAATTTAACAACTGTGTAAAGTATCCTTGAGAGTCTAGGGCCACAGGCAAAGCAGTCTGAGAACCTAGGCCTGTCTGTATGAAAGTCCTCTGCTCAACACATTTGAGGAGCACTCCAAATTTTATGAGGTAGAAAAGAGTGCTTGAGGCAGATGGAACAAACACGACATGAGATAGGAGATAAGATGCAGGATGTGACCAGCCAGAAAAGTGATCAAAGAAGGCTATGCATTGAAGCCCCCACCATGAACTTATCTGGGTGCTTTCACAAAGCATCCTCAATTCTAGAATATCTCTTCCCCTGCCCTTTCTTGTTCTCTTTTCTTATCACCTCCAGACTATGTGATATCCCAGGCATTTTGGAGCCATGCTTACTCCTCCCATTCTCTTGCCCCTTCACCTTATTCCATAAAATTGTATTTAAGCCATAAATTTGACCTAGCTAACTGCCTTTGCATCCTATGGGAAGCAGGGGCCACTCTGTTCTCTTAGTGGAGCAGGACCTATGCTGTGCCTCGCACATAGAGTAGAACCCATTGGGGCTCTGCCTCATGGGGAGCAGACCTGCTTGGGTACATCACCCCAATAAATGCCTTTTTTAACTAGGAAACTGAGTGAATTCTTTCAGGACACTAGGACCCACACATCTATTCCTCATCATTTCAGTTAGCACCCCAACATTCTTGGGGTCCGCCCTGAACTCACCACCAATGGCTACAGAGAAGTTCTAAGTGAATTCTTTCACACCTGAACCAGCTCTTCCAACTCTAACCTCAACAAATTGAAGAATTGTTCACACAATAAATATTTAGTGGGCATGTAACAAGCAGATAAACAGAAGAGTCCTGGGAGTGGCAGCATCCCCCGCCTCACCAGTCTTCCTTATAGCTCAAGCCATCACGTCCATAACTAGGGAAGTAACTCCTGTACAGAAGCAGTCAGCCATCTCCACCAGCTGCCTACTAACTGCCACCCCAGGGCCGGCAAGCTGGCCCAGCTGAAACAGCAAGACACTCTGAGGGAGGCAGCATGTGCCAGGCAAATCAAACTACCATCACCACCTTGACCACCATTTCTCCTCTGACCCTGAAAGAAACAGTCCAGGACCTGAACCCAAGAACCCCAGGAATAGCAAGGTTTCCAGCCCTGTGCCCTCACTCATCATCTTGGGAAGGTGTCACCTGGCAATTACTCGAAGGTGCCACATCTTTTAAAAGTCCAGAAAAGAAAGTTCTTGACACTAAAGACCTTGGCACTGTCAAATGGTTCAACATGAGAAACTAATATGATTTTATCAGTAAAAATGATATTAAAGAAGTGATTTCCTGACCATGGGACCTTCTTGTCTAAATTGCAGCTGAAATCTCTATATGTGTTGTCTTTCCATTAGAATGTAAACTTCTTGAGAGCAGGGATTGTATTAATTTTCTATTTGTAACCCCAGGACTTAGCATAGTGCTTTGAACATAGTAAATGGTTAGTGATTTTTTTAAAAAAAAAATTCATTCATTCATGTAGGTTGGCTGAGGTTTTTGTTTACTTTATGTGTGCATTTTGTACAGTTTTTCGGTTTGTTTTTATTGTTGATGTTATTGATGAAAATATAACACTAGACCAATCAGCCTCTGAAGCTGACAAATATACATAATAAAGACAGAGGACCTTGTCTTTTGTTTTGATTCAAATTCATTTGCAAACTATTTCCTCTAGAATTCCTCTATTTCCTTTGGGGTTTTTTCCCCCCATGTAGGATTATACTCAGTTTTACCAGCCTATGTCTCTTGCCTTATGGAATATTGTACTCCACCTTTTCCTCTCCATTTAAGTGACATCAGTCAAATCTTCTGGGATGCTGGCTGTGGTTCCTTGGTACTTGAATTTCTTTCTTTCTGACATCTTAAGATTGTTGTTATTGTTGTGTGTGTGTGTGTGTGTGTGTGTGTGTGTGTGTGTGTGTGTGTTCAATTATTGACCTGGAAGCTCTGGATTTTGACTCTAATATTCCTGGATATTTTCATTTGGCCATTTTTTTTTTCTGGAGGCACCCAGTGGATTCTTTCTGTTCTCATTTTGCCCTCTGGTTCTAATAGATATGGACAGTTTTATTTATGATTTCTTAAAATTATGGCATCTAGGATCTCTATTTAATCATGATTGTTAGATAGTCTGATAATTCTTAGATTATTTCTCCTTGATCTTCTTTTCCAGCTCAGTTATATTTAATAGTCCATATAACTTTCATTTTCTTCTGGGTTTTTTTTTTCAGTCTTTTAATTTTGTTTAACTTCTATTTTCTTATTTAATCATTATTTTCTGTTTGGCTCATTCTAATTTCCAGTGCAATTCTTGGGTAAGGCTTTCTACCTCCTGTTGTAAGCTATTAATTCTTCTTGTCATACTTTCCTTCTTGGCTGTCATTTCATTTAACATTACATTTTAAACATTATGTTGCATCTCATTTAACATTACATCTTTTTGACAAAAAAATTAACTGATGGATACTGAATGCAGAATGATGCATACTTTTTTTTTACTTTGTTTTTCTTGCTTAATTTTTTTTGTAACATAGCTAATATGGAAATATATTTTGCAAAATTTTGCCTGTACAATTGATACCATGTGAGGGATTGTCTGATGTTGGCTGCGTGCCACATGGGGGTTGTGGCAAGATGGGGCAGGGACAAGATATTAGGAAGTAACCGGAGCTCACGCTCCCAAGGCAGGGGGCTGTGCTATGTGGAGTTGTGGTGAACTGGGATGGGAACTGGATATGGGGAAGTAACCGGAGTTCACATTCCCAAGGCGGGGGCGGTGCCATGTGGAATTGTGATGAACTGGGGAAGGAACAGGATACAAGGAAGTAGCCAGAGCACATGCTCCTGAGGCAGGGGGCTGTGCCACGTGGGAGTGGGATGGCAGAGAACGAGCTCCCTTTGTCTAGTCCTCTCCCTAGGTGCAGCGCTAACCCCAGAAGTCTCCTTCCTGTATCCGGGCCTAGCTTCCTGTGTTACGTACTCTCCCTTTGTCTAGTGCTAACCCCAGACATCCCCTTCCAGTATCTGATCCTACAACCAATCACTAGTAGGTGGGCTGAGGAGGAAGGGCTAGGAAGGTACATAAGGGGTGGTAGGGATCGGAGCGTGCTCTCTCTCCCTGCTCGTGTGTTCGTGCTTTCCTGATTGGCCTTGCTGTGATGGTCTCTGAATAAAGTTGGAGTGCTTGCACCTCCTGATCAGCTCGTCTCTGTGTTTATCCAGGTGGCCCCTGAGGACTGGTGAGTATGACCCTGGCAGCCTGGTCCTGTTAGAAGGAGAGTGCACGGCCCGACCGGCACAATACCATATTGCTTAGTTTCTCAATGGGTGTGGAGGACCTGGAAGAAAGAATTTGGAACACAAAATTTTTTAAAAATGAATGTTAAAAATTAATAAATTAATTAAAATTTTAAAATTAATGATCTGAGCATGGGGAGAAAGGGTTCAATGGTCATCCAGTGGTCTGCACCTTCTGGTCTCTGGTGCTAAGAATCTGGGTGGGTGAGAAGAGGGTCTGACTGGGATTTTTGGAGCAAAGAACCCCACTCTGGTGTTGGGAATTCATACAAACAGTAATCAGATGTTCCTTTCTATATCATTTGATTCCTAGTAAGCACTTAATAACTGCTTTTTCCTTCCTTCCCTCTCTGGCAGAAAGATAATTGCTTTCTTCCTAAAGCAAATATAGTCAATATGGTGAAAAAAGTGATACAAGGACACTCTTAAGAGCTCTGTAAAGAACTTTGGAACTGATTGTGTGACATAGGAGACACTGCCCAGCATGGCATGCCCTCATCAAAGAAAGCGCTGACTGTAATGCATCTTCTTTAGTGTCATTTCCATTGACACATCCATCCAGTCATTTGTCAGTACAAAGACTGTGGTGTTGTGAACTTTGTTTCTAGGTCTTCAGTAACTATGATTACTGAGGAGATAGATGCACTAACACCTGCGCAGTAGGTTGCCATGCCATATCTGATATCATGGGACATGCAGGACACAGAGCCTATTGTCTGTAAGA